GTCCCAGGGGGGGATTTTGGGGATCCCCAGGGGGGATTTTGGGGGTTCCAGGGGGGGATTTTGGGGGTCCCAGGGGGGGATTTTGGGGATCCCCAGGGGGGATTTTGGGGGTTCCAGGGGGGGATTTTGGGGGTCCCGGGGGGGGATTTTGGGGGTCCCAGGGGGGAATTTGGGGATCCCAGGGGGGGTCCCGTGGGATTTGGCTCCCCAAATTCTCCCCCCAGGACCGGGACGGGTCCCACGTGGAGGTGGAGCCGCTCTGCGTCCTGGATTTTTACATCCACGAGTCCCAGCAGCGCCGGGGGCTGGGCATGGAGCTCTTCCGGGAGATGCTGCAGGTTTGGGGGGAAAAACGGGGATTTTGGGGGAAAATCGGGAATTTTGGGGGAAAATCGGGAAGTTGGGGGGAAAAAACATGAATTTTTGGGGGGAAAATGGGGATTTTGGGAGGGAAACTGTGAAATTTTGGTGAAAAAACAGGAATTTTTATGGGGAAAAAGGAAAGCTGGGGGGGAAAACGGGAACCAGGGGCGTCCTGATGAAACCCCAATCCCCCAATTCCCAAAAAATTCCAGCGGGAGAGGGTGCAGCCGGAGAAATTGGCCGTGGACCGACCCTCGGAGAAGCTCCTGGGCTTCCTCAGGAAACATTTCGGGCTCTGCAACCTCATCCCACAGGTGGGGGAAGGGAAAAACGGGAATATTTCACATTTTGGGCTTTTTTTTTTCCCCGTTAAAAATCAGATTTTTGGTGGAAGAAGTCCCGGATTTTAATTTTGGCGTTAATTAGCGGGATGAGTTTTAACTTTGTGTTTGTTCGTTAGCACGGATAGAGCCCCGCGGGGGAGTGGAATTGCCGGGAATTACATGAGGTTCCTTCTTGCTCCCCCCTCTCCAGGTGAACAATTTCGTCATCTTTGAGGGGTTCTTCTCCACCAGAAGCGGTGAGTTCCGGGCTGGAATTCCAAGGAATCCTTCTGGAACGTTCCAGGGGCTCCCGGGGTGCGATTTGGGGAACCCTGGGCGGATTTTGGGGAATCCTGGGTGGGATTTTGGGGAA